CTGATGAGCTAGCCGTTGCAGCACAGCTAGCTGCTGCACCTCAAGCCTCCATCGTCTATAGCTTGGGCCCTTAACATATGAGGATTCATATTGTAAGGGTTTACTATTATATAACCAATCAGCTACAGGCGCATCCTCCTCCTCATCTAGCTCCATTCTTATAGCATCTAGCGGCTCCACAGCCAGTACATTCTCCCCATAGTCTAGTGGGGGTTCTTCATCGTCAAAAGGAGGAAAGCGCATGCGCTTGAAATGCCTTCTATCTCTTTTTTCTCTCCTCATTAGGATCCATACAGAACCCCACTGAGCTAAATATACTGGCTCTATAACAAAAGGTATTTCACATACAAATGTTATTGCGCCTGTTGAGTGATACAATACATTCACGTTTCTAGCTTGCTCCCACGGCATCGGCATGTTCTCTAGGAGTTTATACACTGCATGCGGAAGAAACTTTAAAGCCCCAAGATATACTCGACGATCATGACGAAACTTTCGGCTGCTCATGTCTCCATGATCCTTTACTAGCTTTCTTAGGTGTTCTGGCGGCATTGGCTCTTTTTCGGTGTATGTACACCCCGGAAGCTGACGAGAAGAGTATCGTTTTGATGTCAGTTGCTGCCACTTACGAGCTTTCTCTTGTAGCAACTCCTCCTGGCTCTTTGCTTTTGCTCGCTGCTGCTGCTGCTGCTGCTGCTGTTGCTGCTGGTGCTGCTGGTGCTGGTGCGGAGGCGGGGGGTGGGGAGGAGGGAGCACAGATGCTGCTGCTGACTTGTGCTGCAGCTCCTTCTTCTCTCCATGCTGCTGCTGCTGCTGCTGCTGTTGCTGCAGACTCATAGGGGGAGGGGGGATACCCATAGGGGCCCCTGCTGCAGCCATCGGCGCTCCGGGCGGTGGTGGCTGCTGCTGCGGCATTGGTGGTGGTGGTCTGAAGGGAAAACCCTGCTGCTGCTGCTGCTGCTGTTGCTGCTGCTGCTGCTGCATCCAAGCAGGTATAGGCATGGTACCTCTCTGATTAGGCACCGCAGGAGGGG